TGAAAACATTCATCCATTTGAATACTCGGGTTTACATTTACATTGCATTTTTCATATAATTATTCAGCAGCTGCTTCTGTCCAAAGTAATGCACAAGTGAGAAAAGCTTTGGCACAGGGTCACACAGTGTCACTGCAGCAGTTGGGGTTAAGTGTCTTGCACAGGGATCCAGCAGTGATTTAATGACTCTGCCAGCCATGGGACCTGAAGCCATGACCTTCTGGACACAGGCAGGGATTCCTAACCTGCAGAGACCTCAACACCCCCCACCACCACTACCACTACCACCACTATATGGGCTTATATCGTCAAGATAGCAGTAACTTATGCTACCTCTGCGTGTGAAGGCTGTTCTCGCTCAGAGTGTCTCCTCTTCAGTTCATCAATCTCCTGCTCCAGTCTCTCCATGTGTCCTTCAGTCTGACTCACTGCAGCCTTCTCCTGATCTCTGATCAGCTCTGTCACCTCTGACCGTGTTCTCTCAATGGAGCGGATCATCTCAGTGAAGATCCTCTCACTGTCCTCCACTGCTGACTGTGCTGAGCTCTGTTGGTGACACAGGGAGCAGAGGACAGTAAATTACAATTGGCCCCTTTTGAGACTCCAGAGAGCCTCATTGTACAATAGTGATGTGAGCTGACTGGAGGTATAAAAACAGCACAGGGCTGGGGTTTGGAGCGTCACCATGCTGGATGCCTCAGGGACTGAAACCCAGCCAGCACTGATTGGAAATGATCCCTCATTAAGCTCATACACTGTCAGCTGCAGGGATTTGGCAGAGACTGGTGGCTGTATGGGGCAGGTTGGTTGTCACCATTGGGTCTGAGTTTAATAGGTGACTTTTTGGGGTTGATATCTGTTACACTGGTGTATGAAATTGTGTCACTTGTTAGAAAGAATATTATTTAAAGGCCATTTGAGAAAGACCTTTCATTTAGATTAACCCCCCTGTTCAGCGCCTTTGTCCCTCCCCTGTGGGAAATCCCTGACTCCTTCTCTCTCACTTGAATTCTCTGCTGAAATTCCATCTGGGATTCACCCATATCTTTCTACATGTAGCAAAAAGATGATGAAATGAGTTTGTTTTATTGAAGGTGATCATATTCTTTAATCATCCACTCCACGATGGACCCCAGCCTTGTGCCCTATCCTGCCTGGAAAAGGATCCAGGTCCCCATGACCCTGACCGGGATAAATGGTTAGGAGATTCTCCTCTGCCCTCCCTCATTAACAAGGTGTCTTCTCTCACAGACCTGCCACAGTCTGGCTGTTTTATGTTTACTGCACCATCCTCAGTAAACTCTACACACTACAGTGTGTGAAAATCCCAGGATGGTGACGATTTCTGAGATGCTGGAAGCACCATGTTTGACGCTAACAATCGCATCATATTTAAAACCTCTACACATCTCAGCCATTCAGATGCTCAGCCAGATAATAAGTGATCCTCTTCACCCTGTTTGCTTGCTGCATGCATTCAACTGTAGCCACAGGATTCACTGTTTGATGGAGTTTTTGGTAGAAAATTTGAACTTTTTATACTTTATAGTAACATCATGACCCAGGTTTGCCCCAGTTAGAACGCAGACTCTGATATAAGTTAAGGTGCTAAAATTTCTCTTTAATCAGTTATAGGATATATTCAGTAACACATTTCTTTACCAAACCAGACTTGATCTCTGCATCTTTTAAGCAGAAATGCTCACGAGTTAAGACAAAAAAGTTATAACTTAATAAAATTCATAATTTATATTAGAGAGTTTCTGGCCTGACCTGTATCTCCGCCCTTTCTGCAGCAGTTGCGATTGTATCATGGTCTCTGTGTTCAAACGTCTTACAGGAATAACAGATGCACTGCTGGTCGGTACGGCAGTAGCTCTCCAGGGGTTTGTCATGGAGGGAACAGACCTTGTCGGGCAGATGTCCAGTAGGATCAGCCAGCTTGTGCTTCTGAAAAGCTGGAGACTCATAGTGAGGCTGGAGGTGAGTTTCACAGTAAGAGGCCAGACACACCAGGCAGAACTTGACTGCTCTGCATTTTCTCCCAGTACAGAAATCACACTCCACATCTCCAGGTCCAGCATAATGGTCAGCAGGAGTAGCTGCTTGTAGTCCAGTCTGCATCAGTTTCTCCACCACTTCAGCCAGGATGGTGTTTCTGCCCAGAACAGGTCTGGGTGTGAAGGTCTCTCTGCACTGGGGGCAGCTGTAAACTTCAAGATAATCCTCCTGATCCCAGTAGCTCTTAATGCATCTCATACTGTAACTGTGACTACAGTAACCCATAATTTATGATGAAATACCATTACATGCTAATGATATAAAAACAAAACAAAAAAATGCACAAAGAACCAAAAGTTGAAGTATACAAACAATATTCTTTAAATATTTTTTTAGTTTTTAATATTTAATATTTATTTTTTAGTTTTATTATTTATATCTGTATTGCTGTTTATGACAATTGAAGTTCCCCTTTAAAGACCCCTCCTTCATTTTAGGTAAAACAAAATGGTGGTGCAGTGGTTAGCACTTTTGTGTCGCAGGTCTGGGACCAGGGTTTGAGTCTCTGCCTGGGTTCCATGTGTGTGGAGTTTTATGTTCTCCCCATGTCATCATGGGTACTCTGGTTTTCCCCCACAGTCCAAAGAGGCTTATTGGGGTTACTAAATTGCCTGTAGGTGTGAATGGTGTGTGATTGTGCCCTATGATGGGCTGGTCCCCCCATCCTGGCTGTTGAATTGGCTCACGACTCCCCATGACCCAATAGGATAAATGGTTGGATGAATGGTTTTGATCCGTCATATTTGAATATATATTGTAAATTCCTGTAGTGTTTTTCATGTTGCTATTGGTATGAAAAGTCCTTAAGACACACAGACACATACAGTTAATGTATCATTGACACTAACTTAACCCTGAACTTTATCTTCCACTGTCAAAACCTTGTCTCTAAGTTATTCTCTTCTAACTGGAAAATAACTCTTTTGTCAACATTCTAAAACGCTTAATGTGAAAAAGCTTAATGTGGTTTAATGTACCAAACCAGCGACCAATAATCACCAAATTTCTCACGGACATATCTGGTCATAAAAACTTTTCTTTCAAATCCAAAATATTAGGAATATGCACTTTATCTCACATTAAGCCTCTTCCATTGACGCCCGCTGTAAGGCAAAAGAAAGCATAAAAAAAGACAATAATAAATAAATGTAATGGACTGTAAGGTGTTCATATATTTAGTTTTTTAAATTATTATTTGCAGACAAACTTCTGACTACAGGAACCTCTATGTTTTTTAGTAGGCAGAATGAGTGAATGTTGTCACATTATTTAAGATTTCGGATTTAAGAAGTTTGTGGGTTCATTGGTAGGTATGGTTCTATATTTATGTTACTTGGAAATTATTTGGAATAGACCGTTTGTGATGTTTTTTTAATTGCACTTTATGTAGCATACTGTTTCCCGAGTAGTCAGTTACTGCGTCAATCAAATTTTCAAGATATCCTGCCTACCCCATTGCCTGCGACGTCTCCACTACCTGCGACGCCCTTCTGCCTGTGATGCCTTCCCTGTACGCCCTTCTGCCTGTGATGCCTTCCCTGTACGCCCTTCTGCCTGTGATGCCTTCCCTTTATGCCCTGTTGCCGTCCCACTGTTCATGCTGCCATCTGAAGCAGCTCCAGCACTTGTCTGTCATCACCTTCCTGCCCCCTGCTTTGTGTCTCTAATGTTAAGACTGGGAAAATGTGAATTGGGCCTTTGACTTTCCCTGCCGACCCCAAGAGGATGGGCTCCCCCTCTGAGTCTGGTTCCTCCCAAGGTTTCTTCCTTCTAGGGAGTTTTTCCTTGCCACTGTCACCTCTGGCTTGCTCACTGGGGGCTTTGGGTGGGGATGCTCTAAAGCGCTTTGAGACAATGTAATGTTGTGAGAATATTCTATACAAATAAATTGAATTGAATATTGAATAAGGACTGTGAATGACCTGATTTCTCAACCCATATTGTGTTGCAAAGTGTTCATTCCCAGTCAAAATGCCACATTTACTGATTCAGCTTTAACACATTAGACATTTGTGGTAGTCAGTACAAGCAACAATTAAATCATCAGATGATTTTGTGCACATACAAAAGTATTTATTTGCAATATATGTTATATAGGCTGTGATGGTGGTCTGCTAATAAAATAGATATGTAATATAGTCTTTAAGTTGACTCTTGAAAGGTGAACCTTGAGAGTGGCTGTTGGATGAATGTTTATAATATAACAATTACAATTGTTTTAATATTCTTGCATATATGTATATATAATTACTATTGTGTGTATATATACAGTTATATGAAAAAGTTTGGGAACTGCTCTCAGCCTGCATAATAATTTACTCTACTTCCACCAAAGAAGATAACAGTGGTATGTCTTTCATTTCCTAGGAACATCTGAGTTTTCCGAACAAAGATTTTTAGTGGCAATAATAAAATATTAATCTGAAGTGGCTGCAAAGAAAAGGTGAAAGACTTTATGACCAATATGTCGGTGAGAAATTTGGTGACTATTGGTCGCGGTTTTGGTACATTAAACCAGAATAAGCTTTTTCACGTTAAGCGTTTTATAATGTCCCTGAAGCAGCCGTATGGCGGCGGAAAATGTGAAAAGTGATAATGATTTATTTGTGTTATTGATTTAAGTGTCACTGCAGAACCGAGTTTTATTTGTACAAGTATAACGCAAAATGTGCGTCATGGCAGAATTAGGTGGCGGCGGGAGCTTGTCCCCTTTCTCTTATTGTTACTTGTTATTAAGTCGCATGGATAATATCCCCATAAAAAAAAATCCTACGCCGGGCCACCGAGTCCGTGTCCATTTCTGCTTAGACCGCTTCCGCGTTTGATACACATCATTTCCTGTTTGTAAATGAAAGTGAAAGTATTTTAATTCTGGACTCTCCAGTTTGTTAAGAAACACGGATAAGATTCTGCATTGCAAGGTAAGATTTTAGTCAACCGATAAAACTTATAATAAATTATGCTATATTTGGGAGTATATTATATATATATTAGAGCGGATGCTATATACTGTTTCTCAAACCAGTCCTGGGAGACCTCAGACATATATATGCATGTGTGTGTATATATATGTATGTATGTATATATATAAAAACACATCTATATATAGCGGCCACACCCGTTGCATGAAGTAGCTACTAGATATTATGCATGTATGTCACTATTTACCCTTTGTGTTCATAGAAGCCCCAGCATCAGTCATCTGGTCTAGATCGGCACAAAAATGGGGGGAGCTGCTTCTGAAATGACCCCCCCTGTGGAGTGTGAAACAAAGAGAACTGAGAGGTAAGACAGAACCTGTGTGTTTGTACGGCTTTACATACGGTCATAAAAAATAAACATTCCAGCATTCTCGAAAGAGAGAGTAATCTGTCTAAACTTAATTCACTTCCTCGAGACTTAACTGATTCAGGTCCGTGGGGTAGATGATTTATGTTTATCGTTTATTAAATTTAACTTCCTCCAAGAATATACATTTAAGTGTACTCCCTGGACGCTGTCCTCTGCTGCCACCTAGCGCTGATTCTTCAATTTTTCACATCTTTATGGCGCGAGGTGATTTTCTGAATATACGCTAAAATAAAGTTTATATTTTCGGTCTCCATCCCCCCGCCCCATTCAGATCCCGTTGTCGGTATTCAGTAGCAGTCCAGTAGCTGGTCGGCACAATATTCATTGGTAACTTGGTGAAATTTATTTTGGGGAACCCCATTTAAGGCTAAATTTATGTAATATTAAGCAACAACAGGCAAGTCTAGTAACGGAGGCTGTAACAATGATGCTAAACCTTTCATATTGGGATCTTCATTTTAGGTGAGAGTTTATTTCACATTAAAGCTAAATGTAAACAAGCATGTTTGCATCAAGAGCTTCACAGCATATCAAAGTACACGAAGACAGATCAGAAGGTGAAACAGCTGAAGATTTAATGTGACTCTGTCCACATTATATGGGTTATATTTATATAATGAGGATCTTTCCTCTCACTGTCCACAGTGTCCTGATGGAGAGAGCAGGCTCACCTGTACCCAGCTGTGTTTCCATGAAGAGTGACAGGTCAATGGACCGAGGAATCTTCTTCAGTGAGGGACGTTTTCCTACAGATCAAAGGTAAATATACATTTATACATTGTTTAAAACACTCAGACTCTCAGTAAAAAGACATACAGGCACGCATAAGCTGCAAGAAAAAAAACTTCAAATTTCAAATTTTTTAAACTTGCAAATCCCATCATTTTTGAAAATGTAAACAGAAGTTTTGTCTGTCTTCTGTATAAATCACATCTGAGGTAAAAGGATGATGATTACTGTAAAGACTGACTTCCTGTGAGCTGGAATTAGAAGGTAGATTGAAAAGTGCATTTTAAATGTCAATCCTCAGCATGCAGCTGGATAAAAGCTACTGCTCTATATTGATTAAGCATGACTGGGCAATAGATTGTCTTCTTCTGGGATGGATGTTTCTGCTTTGATAATAAATAGATTCTCATGGGCTCCTTAGATCTGTTCAGACTGAGGCTTCAGTTTGAACATGTTTAATGGAACAGTGCCTGTTACTAATTAGCTAGTTGTTATGGGATCGGGGGATGGTGCAGGCGAGGAAAGGATGACGATCCACAGTGTGGCTCCAAGATGACAGGGGTTTATTTATAACAAAACACAGAGCAGAAAATAAGGGAACCACGAGGGGTCAAAAGGTCATAACAACAAAACACAGGGGACACTAGTAAAGAGCAGCAACCCAGGGAGCAGAACTAAGGGGAAAATAACTACACAGGAATCCAATACACACAGGAACAAAGCACAGGATCAACAGCATGTGATACAATGACCAACTGAGGGAACTGACCACAGGCAGGCAGTAAAATACACAGATCATGGGGACTAACAAAAGGCAGGTGTGAGAACTCAAAACAATCAACCAATCAGAGCAGACACTTGAAAGAGGACACAGGTGGAATTAACTAACAATTAACAAACAGAACTAAGGGGCTGTGAACCTGGGACCAGGGAAAACATCTGTGAGAGAGAAATTGATTAGGGGGATATTTTGTAATCAGCATTTCATATGTACTTTATACAGCCTGTAACTTATGGGTCTGGCCACCTGCAAGCAGCCCCCACTCACTGTAGCCTTTTGTGATTTTCCTGCTCTGTCTGATAAACACGCTCTAAACCTGCATTTCTGTTCTCTATCCTGCATTTCTGCTCAATCTAATGAGCACAAAGTTCAAGCACATATCGCTACACTAAGGTTAACTCTTAATTCTCTTAAGCTTACATTCTTGGCTGTCAGCTGCCTAACACTCAGGTACTTTTGCATTAGTTGCACAAAGATACAGTTTCAAAGCTGATTACAAAATATCCCTCTAGTCAGTTTTTCTCTCACACTGGACAAGATCCTACGGAGCTGCCAGAGGTCACACCAGAGCCTGGGCCTGCCGGGTACCTGAGGTGCAGCCCAGCAAGAGACAGGAAGCCCCTGAGTATTACAGGCAGTCTAGTGTTAACCCTGGAAACAAGGGACAGAACAAATCCCTTTGCGGTTAAGCCAGCTGCTATTGGAGCCAAAAGAGAAACAGGAGTGCTGTCGGTAAAATTTGCCGAACGGGGGGGGTATAGCGCCGGTGGATTGGTCAGACAAATTTGTATATTGTTACACATTTCATTTTAACAAAAACTGTTAGATCAAATGTTCACACCAAACCATTTATATAACAGTTTTTTTAGCAAAAGAAAAAAAAAGTTGAGATTAGCTGGGCTCCGCCCTCCCCCTCCCCTCCCCAAAACCACCGCTGGATAGTTATGGCAATTAAGTTGACTCAGAATGTGGATGGCAGTTACATCTATTTGAATATGAATATATGGATGGATATTTGTGTTTTATTCACAGGGACCGAGTGAATAGATGTAATTCACATCCACATAAAGGAGACTTATCATTCATCTTCAAGGTCTGCATTTATTATTGAAGTATATTTTCTTAAATTTTATCTAATTTGACATATATCTTCTACAGATGTATAATAAGTAGTTCATCCTGCCAAACAGATGATATTTACAACTAATGCTGCGTTCCATTTACCTCGGAGGTCGGAGGTCGGAGCTGGGAATGACGTCACACCCAAGTTAACCTCGTTCCAGTACAGCAAGTCGGAAAGACATTTAGCAAAACCAGGGACCTGTTTCAAAAAGCTAGATTTCTTGCTTAGCCAGATAACTTGCTGTATTTAATGTGCCCCAGTTTAAATCACCTTCATCTTCATTCACTTAAATTTAGCCCAGAGTACATTAAATTCTGACTTCAGTTGAAATTTCCCACTAGGAACTCCGAATTTCCAAGTTACAAGTTGAAATGGAACGCAGCATAATTCACAAATGAAGTTATAAAAAGATACGGTGCCTGGAGTGATAATAATGAATCTGTAACTGTTCATTTCAGTTACTGGAGAAAAAAGCTCAAACGTTTCTGAAGGATGAGCTGATGAAATTCAAAAGGTACCTGGATCAGAATGACCCAGAATGCTCTGAGCCTCAGCTGGAGGAGGACAATGACCTGGACAGTGATGGTCAGATGCGGAAGACCTGTGGTAGAGAGGGAGCTCTGAAGATCACACTGTACATCCTGAGGACCATGGAGCAAAATGATCTCGCTGACATGCTGGAGAAGAGTAAGAGCTGTACCTCATTCAGTGTGTTTGATTTACTGCAGAAAAAGAGTTTATGAAAAAATGTTTATTACATTTCAGTTTATCATTTATTTAATTT